CTCATGTTAATCTCGATTGTGGGTGGTTGTGTAAAAATAGCGAAAAGACAAATGGTAAAATAAAAATACAACAATTAAAATAGCTAACATGTCACGATAACGAAAAGCGCTTAATATTAATATTTAAAATATGTGTTTAAAAGAACCGAACATTTCAAAAATATAAATACATATATAAAAATATATATAGATTATACAATGTTTAAATTATAATGAAACAAGTCATTGTCAATGACACGTCCCTGTTCCGTTCATATTTGAGTGACATATACATTCAAAACAGATCATGACCGAAATCTCAGTGGTCTGATTCGAAATGCACGGTTTTGTTATGCACCTGCATATGTACAACACATTGTACTAAATGTGTACAAAATCCATCCATGCATGACTGAGATCCGGTTCCGGAATTGTGAAAATACGTGATTTTAATGCATTTTCGGCCTTAAAATGGCCATCATTCAGCTATTGTTAAGCGGATCATGAAACAAATGCACATACATATTTGTGACATGATGTACCTTGTGTGTGTGTGAAGTTTGAACTCGATCAATCCAGGCATGTCTCAGATACGGATCAAGAACTGAATTGTTTAAAACAAAATGGCCGCCAGTCGGCCATTTCGAACTTGATCGAAAAAAAAATGACGTGCATCAAGGTCCTATTATGTTTAATGTATGTACCACATTTGAACAAAATCCGTCCATGCATGACTGAGATCCGGGTCCGGAATGGTGAAAATGTGCGATTTCAATGCATTTTCGGCCTTAAAGCGGCCGCTATTCGGCTATCGTTAATCGGATCATGAAAAAAATGCATGTGCATATAACCCATATACTGTGTGATGTATGAGTGAAGTTTGAACTTAATCGGTCCATGCATGTTTGAGATACAGGTGATCACGGACGCACGCACGCACGCACGGACGCACACAGGGCAAAACATAAGTCCCCGTTTTCGGACTACGTCCGAACGGGGACTAATAACATTAACACTGTGCTTGAAATCAACAAGCTTGTGGTTGTTTGCTTCATGCCGAACATGTGTACATGATATTAACATAAATGTTAAGCCAGGTGGTTGTGCAGAAAAGCTAAGACGTGTAATTCCTAACAAAGGCATATAAATTGTTTAAAAGCGTACAACAAAATAAATGTAAGTCTGCATGATGAAGTTGAATTGTGGCTAAAACAAATAATAGATTGCATGCTTGTAAAACATGGAATCCCTTACCAACCAAATTGAAAGATTCAGCAACCTGTTGCCTTGCCAGTGTGTTATAACTGATAACCCACACTTTCTCGTGGTGTTTCCATTAATACACCAGCGACCAGATTAAAAGGTAACATGACCAAAAGAGGTATAAAGCTTGTATTCACACTGCACCCAGTGGCGAGTTGTACACTTTCTGTCACGAATGCGCTCAGTATCTTGGCAACAAGGGAAATCATTTAATGGCTTATTGCGAATCACATGAAAAAGATTTCCTATTAAGTTTATATTTCATTCAAATATTAAATACGAGAAAATAACTCTTTTTAGAAGTTATATAAAATAAACATTTTCGTTGTCCCATCCATTAATGTTTAGTGTCACTTTCCGAAATTCTAAAACGACAATTATTATGACAAGATACATGATTTTTTTTTCTAAAGTCTGGTATAATTGTACATGAAATACGTTTCAATGATTAGTTCCTTTGTATGATGCCAGACTCGGATGCGAGGTGAAGGATTACAGCCCCCTTCTCTGCAAATACTACCAGAATACAAACTGTAATTTTTGTTTGTGTTACACAGGCTAATTCATTACCAATTCAACAACTTGAACACATATCAATATAATTGTGTTACTCCACATTATGATTCAAAACTTATGTTTTGCTTTCGCACGAAAGTCAACCAAAGAGGGCGCACTTTGAATGTATGATACTAGTAACTTTATTTTGGAAATCTAAGACAAATACACTGCAAGTAGCGTCTATAAGTAGCCCTCTAGTGACAAAGTGCTTCAGTGACATTATAGATGCCCAACAGCATTGTCGTTCAAAGTATAAATTCTTTGGTTGCATTGTCGTTTTCCATTTCCATTTATAGTGAATGTATCGACTGACGAATGCAGATCAAACACATTTTTACAATATGAACCAATTTCCTTTCATCCATTTACGTCACTGAAGGCAAATTGAAATTTATTTGGATATTTCGTATTGAAACCCTATAAGTTTTGTCCTTGACATTGTCACACCCATGGCATTCTGGCAAACAACATGAATGCATTATTGTAGTCGTCTTCAATACTGAAAGCTGGACGGATAATGAACTTGTACTCATGCCATCAAAAAGTGTTCACCAACTTTACATTGCTCACTGTACATTCATTTTGTGATATTACCGGTATATAACTGGAATACAAAAATATTTGCTAAAAACAAAGATATTTTCACGAAATGAACAAATCTGACAGAGGTCAATCCATGAGCGCCTTCATATTCAATCACAGTGATGATATAGAGTTAACTTGTTTACTCAATCATAATATTAGCAATAGGTAAAGGGTTAATTTGTTGCCCCCCTCGATACAATAGTCTACACACTTGCATATAAAATCACACCCCGCTTAAAAACAAAACAAAAAAACTCAGAAATGCAATAGATATTCTAAATGAAGCATGTATTTATATTGTCTTTCAGTAAATATTTTACATTATCAATTACAATTTTCTTATTTAGATTAACATAAAAGTTCAATATAAAAAAAAGATAGGCTAGAAAAGAAAAACTGATAGTTTTACACATAAATATATTATTTATCAGTAATGTGCAGTTCATCTTACTGACTGATAAAGGGCCAGATTGTGATAGCACATCAAAAAGTTCTTTTTAGCTACAGTTGTCAGATATCATTGAAAGATTCAGTCAGTAGAGAGAAGACTCAATTATTGTTTAATTTAAGACATGTAAACAAACTGAAATACAACAGTCAAAGAGTATGTCTCTATATCTCCTTCATCAGTTTTGGAGTGCCCCAAATAGGCATCTGGTTTCAAACCTGGATCGAACACAGCATACCCTACCAACTTCCATGTTACCTTGGCAATGCATAAATTTGAATTTACGGTTGGTTCTATACTGAAATGTAAATTCTGACAACAGAACTTGGACTCCCATTGTTGAAGAAAGGAGCTGCTTTTTTTTTTTAAAAAAAAAATCCAGTAAATATAATACATGAAACATTGTTTTACAGCTGTGAGTTCACTTTTTTTTTTCATCTGTAAAATATATTACATCTTTCATTGAAAACTAAGAATGCAAAAATCTGAATAAACTAATTTTAGTTGTGCTCACATTCATGTTCCAATCCAACATTACTGAAATACCGGTATATGCAAATATATGATCAACCAAAAGAAGATTCGAGCAGACATTAAAACAGAGAGCCATTTTTGATTACATCACAGGATGATGATGGTACATGCAGGTAAATTCACAGAACATTATCACTATAAATATGGTTTTATATGGCATCTTAAGTTAAATTATATTAATCAAGTGCAAGAAACTATATGTACCATGTATCTAACGAATTACTGAAGAGGAATAATATTTGGGTGAAATAATATATCATTCTATAATAATTATAGTATCAGCTTGAGAGAAAGTGTATACAAATAACAAGACATCTTTTCTTTTAGTCAAAGTAGCCAAGTTAGTGCAGAGTAAGTTTTCTGTTATCAGTAAATTCTGTACAATTTTGATGTAAAAAAGTTCTCTTCAGATATTGACATGATATGATTATATAGATCAAAGGAACTACTGCTGGTACACTAAGTAAAAGAGCCCATGATTTCTGGCATGTAGCACAAGAGATAAAAGTCGCTCTTAATCACAGATGTAGGGGTGGGTGGACAGTACTGTCAGTGAACTACCAAATGGCATTTTAAGCATGAGAGTACCAACATGCTTGGATCACGGAGGCAACTGTCTTTTACTTCTATGCTTGGATTTAAGCCTTACAATACAAGTGATATGCTAATGAGGATATGTTTCAATGAGAATATTTTCATGTGCTGATAAGCTATCATTCATATGCAATTTAACTACCATGTTGGGATATAAAGCAGGATATATTTAAGAGAATCTGATAGAATCAAACACTGAAAAGATTTTCAAGTTCTCCGTTTTTTCTACACTGCAGGGCATACTTGTCGATTGGGGTTGATTTTATGATTACCCAATTGGCCACTTTTCAGAACTTTAAATACATTTTCATTGCAGTTTTCCTCTTAAGAATTAGCCACAATTAATATTTTGTTTTGATTATTGAAAGAAGTAGTTTTCATATTTTACAAACATTTTCTGTAACACAAATAAAAGTTGATTCACTACAATAACAAATCAACAAAGCTGGTACTAGCTGGTACATAGAACTTTATATTATTATTGGCTATTACTATAGAAAGTGTTCTCATCCTACAAATTATTCAGTAATTATAGGTACATTTATACACATCAAGAAAATAAAAAACAAGTACATCAAACAAAGTAATACGGCAGTGGAGGGTAGTCAAGTCTTCATTTCAACAGTAAAAATGTTTGAGCAGTAAAACAGCAGTGCTTCTGTCAGAAGAAGAGTGCATGAATGGACTTCAGTATAAATCATAAAGAACCTTTTACAACAGCCACTGAAACAGTCCACCATTCGTGGCAGACTGTTTAATGTATTACTGTGATGGCAAGAAAGAATGGAATGGCAATATTGCAGTATGAAACACACTGTTTTGCTGACAAAGTTACATCACACAGGAAGCAATGGCTACATTGTGAGCAATATATGGTAGCTATATCATTAGCATAATAGTGTCTCATGCAATGCTGCAATATTGCTGTTCCAATTTATTCTTGTGGTCACAGTAAACATCTGTCACATGGCTTTGTAATAGTGTAAATTGAATCACACTTTCAGGGATAGGCAAAGTGATTGGTGAGAATTCTTGAGAATTTTTTAGGAAAACGTGGATTTAATGCCAAATTGTTAACATTTAAGAATTACAGATTTGGAACGACTTGTGTTTAATCACCTGATGCACATCAGCCATGTAATATTGAACTCATAGCAGGCATTGTCATTCATCAAAACGAACATTATCAGTCTACTATAGTGGGCAACCCCTAGATGTCTCAGACTGTAAAATGTCTTACGACTGTTTTGCACCAAAGAAATCAATAGATAATGACATCCTTCAACTAGTATATTGAGCACAATACATACAATTTCAAAAATTGGTCCCCCTCTGTTTTTGACAAAAATAAATCACTGGTTCCAAACTATTGATTGTGTGCTCTATAAAATATATGACAAAAACTACTTTAAATATTAGCAAAAAAAATGATTGTTTCTGGTCAATGTGCACAGCAATTTGGAAGGGGTTGTTCAAAACTACTTATTTCATTGTTCTGCCAAAACACTGAAAAAAAAAGTTGCTGGCTAATCAAAAACAAAAACACTTTTTAGCCTTACAATACACAAAATCAATTATAGTATACATTATTATACAGCAATTTTTAAAATTCTTTTAATAACTGGCATTCCTCTAATGCAAACAAAACCTTGATTAAATGTCAAATGCATAGTAATGCACTTAAGTCAGGCACACACACACAGAGGAAGGAAAGGAGCATTCCATTAATGAGCTGTTCTTTTATTCGGCATGGAGACTGGATGGGTGATGAACTAAGCTACTCCATTAGTTTGCAATGTAGGGTACTCATCTTCTGTTTCACTATTCACTGATCCATACGTGTCCACTGTTCCTGTGAGAGAATTTAATCACATTTTTGAAAATTTAAGTTGAGAAGGAATTTGCACAATAGATTTATGATTAACAAGTCATTGTCAATGACACGTCCCCGTTCCGTTCATATTTGAGTGACATATACATTCAAAGCAGATCATGACCGAAATGCACCTGCATATGTACAACACATTGTGCTAAATCTGAACAAAATCCATCCATGCATGACTGAGATCCGGTTCTGGAATTGGGAAAATACGTGATTTTGATGCATTTTCGGCCTTAAAATGGCCATCATTCCACTATTGTTAAGCAGATCATGAAACAAATGCACATATCTATTTGTGACATGATGTACCATGTGTGTGTGAAGTTTGAACTTGATCAATCCAGACATGTCTTGGATACGGATCCAGAACTGAATTCTCAACAAAATGGCCGCCAGTCGGCCATTTCGAACTTGATCCGAAAAAAAAAAAGACGTGCATCAAGGTCCTATTATGTTTAATGTATGTACCAAATTTGAACAAAATCCGTCCATGCATAACTGAGATCCGGGTCCGGAATGGTGAAAATGTGCGATTTTGATGCATTTTCGGCCTTAAAATGGCCGCTAGTCGGCTATCGTTAATCGGATCATGAAAAAAATGCATGTGCATATGTCCCATATAATGTGTGATGTATGAGTGAAGTTTGAACTTAATCGGTCCATGCATGTTCGAGATACAAGTGATCACGGACGCACGGACGGACGGACGCACACAGGGCAAAACACAAGTCCCCGTTTTCGGACTGCGTCCGAACGGGGACTAATAAACACAGAGCCAACAGTCAAAATATTATTGTGTTTATTTTCTGTGGACATGAATGTCTGAAGATTATGCAAGATAAATTCAGAAAGTAAGATACATGTCACTGATGCTGTCAACGACATCAGTCAAAATGGACAGACGCTGACCAAATTGTGAAAAATGAAGTAAGGCCAAGAAGCTGGCAGACAACAAGTCATGAGTGCTATAAATGATAGAGGAAGAACTAAATTACAAATATGTAACAGAGCGAAACCAATCTATCTGAAACATGAAAATCAGCACCAAGTTGGGCTTAACGATGGCATATTAAATCTAGGATGAACCTGCACACCAACAAGACAGCCCCCTGGCAGCACTATAGCACCCCAATGGTCATTCAGACAAATCAGACAATTAATATTATCGATGATTTTCATGCATTTCCACATAAAGAGTTAAATGAAACACAGATGGAAAATGAAACATGCATTAATGACCAGTATGGGAAGGTTCATGGGGCAAGGATAGATTAGTTTCATACATTACAAGTCATAAAAAGAAATACCCACAAAAAGAGAAAGCTGGAATCACATATGATGATGATCAATGCTGTTTGACTTGTTGTCATAGCCAGCTTCTGGATCAATAGTAACGGCCGTCAGACCATTCGGTTCTAAACTCGGTTGTGGACATTGTTGCTCAGAAGTCGCATAATGGGCTGATCTCCCTACGAGTAAGAAATATACACAAATCAATTTCTATGCAATATAACTCCACATGCACGCACTTTCAGATCTAAAAGACCTTTCATACAATGCCTTGGATGGATGGTCTATTTACGGTAACTTATTAGCCATGCAAACATTGCATTATTCAAACATTGCATAACATAGAAGAATTCCCCAATCGATGTAATCTCCAGATGATTTGACATAGTTGATTAGTATTTTCAACCACATTTCGCATTTACCAGACTTCAGACCCATAAAAACACATACTTGTAAATTTTAGACAACATTGTAGCAAATCCTCACACCAAAAGCAATTACCAATTACAATACAACTTGAACCATTTTGGTTAAAACAAATTTCATGTAACTCACTGCCAAAAACTTTTTAGATTTACCTTGAGTTGCAAAAATAATTAAAATTAGTCGTATGAAAAACAATTCTTTTCAAACACTAAGGAGGATTAGTCACCACAAGATGCATTATTTACATAATGGGCACTCTTAAGTAATTAAAACAAATCATGCAAATTTTGAGCCCCTGAGTTTTTATGGTAACTATGAACACCAAAATACAACTGATTTATATTAACAGAGCAATGACTGACTGCATCTGATCTTCCCTACCTGAGTTACAAATATCAATTTTGATATTGTCCTCAGTGTTTGTAGTATCACTCTCCATACCTTCCTCTGCCCAGCGCTGCCGCTCGGCAAGTAAGTGATCCGAATCTTCACTTTCTGTTCTTGTCGGGAAGCATCGACCATCCCCATAACTGCATAGAAAATAAAAAAAAAAATATATTTTTAGTGGAAAGTGTTCATTCTTTTATACCACCACAGTATTCTAGAAGGAATGAAAGTAGTACCGTATTACCGTAGTACATACAAGAAGACAAATTTTAAGACAACATGCGCTCTATATGAAGTGTCATACATCCAAACCTTAGACTCTACCCTGGTGTAAACACAACACTGGTACATACATGCATTTGTGCATTCATACTTTCCTTATTAGTATGATTATGTGTTGACTAGATATAAGCAGCTCAGCATAGAAGTATGCTAAAACATTACTGAATGGATGGCAGAGTGTTAAGATAGCGGGCACAGAAATCAACACATGTTCTATGACAATGTATACATACTCTGAAAGCTGGGATGTAGAATTATATAATTCCAAACACTTACTAAATCTTGCTCCAAATGTCACAATGATATCATGAGATGATTAAATATTGGCATTTGTTTCCGAAATAAAAATAAGAATATTCTAGTTCACATTGCAGTATTTAAGAAAGTATTTTTCCTTACTTATTTCCTCTGATGCATATAATATATTATGCATTTCTGTGTACATGATACAATCTTTATACTATTATTCAGTACAACTATTCAGCCATATATAATGCAGTTACAATGAGTCAATATTATTCGATTTTGTTCTCACTAGTTTGGGTTTTTGTGTGTTTTTGACAAATGCACTATGTTTAATATCTATGAGCAACTGACCACAAAGTTGTCAAAATGTTACCTCAAATAAGCATTGCCCTACAATAAAAGTGTGAAAAGTGTCACTAAATTGAGGGCATTTTGGGTACCATACAAAGTATCAGAAGTAGCATGGTTTTAGTCAGAAATCAATAGGTCATTAAACTGATAATTATGTGCTAGTTACAATGTATGAATTAAAATGGGTGACCAATCAGTGGGATTCTAGCATGACATTTCTGACTTGTCTAGGAAGTAACACATTCTCTGATTGGCCTGCAATATTATGGCCATGGAAGAAGATATAAATGATGATAAATCCAGAAGCTATATACAGATGTAAATTACTAACTGAAAAACAACATGCTAGCTGGTCTGATCCAGCAATGAAACACCAGTCACATGAAATATAACATAACTGATAAGAACCAAGATGAGAAGACCCAGAAAACAATGAGATAATTATGAGTTGTGAAGATTATCAAAAGATAATCTACATAAAGGAAGGAGAGAGCATGACAAGTAGGACTGTCGTCTACCTGTGTTGATCAGTTGTCTCCTCACATGATTCAAGTTTCTTATCAGAGGCATTGGCAAGTAAATAGTCAGTGTCTCTGGGTTGTCTAGTTGGGAACATGGCACCGTTGCCAACACTGAAAATCCAAGAAAAAAGTTAAAATACAAAGGATGACCAAGTTCTTATTAGAGAGATGAGAACGGTAGGAATTCATTAGATGCCAGACAATAACAAATCTACCTCCATTATTTCATTGATGATTGGCGCCCCTTTTTAACAATGTTATTTTTGACTAATTGGTTTTCTCGGTCTGTCGTCTTATGACTACATTCTATTTAGTGTTTTAAATAAAGCAATAGAGACTAGTGTCATAGAATCAGTATTCACAACTGATAAATAAAATGTTATGGTAGATAATCACCAATTATCACCAATGATGACATAATCGTGCAAGATTATCCCAACAGAAATGTATGTGTGCAGATCTGTACCATGAAGGACCATATATGAATGCAATTGGTCCAGTCACATGTTGGAAAATCTACTATGCACATCCAAAATGGAACAAAATCCAATCCAACATTCATTTTAGGAATGGTAGAACTATTTGATTCTTGCGTATTTTTACAACAGTAAATAGTCTAGAATGCTACAAAAGGGATGCATGTTCACATCTGTTCATGACGCACTATAAAAGTAGAAGGTATAAATTTATGCAAATCTCTCCAGGCATGTTGCAGATGAGGCTATGTAAAGATAAACAAAATCCATCTAAGCATGCTTGACATCTGAATGGTAGAAATGCATGACTTTCGTATGTTATTATAATTAAAATAGCTGCCAGTCAGCCACCTTGAAATGAAATGTTAATAAGGCACATGATGCATATCAGTAAATGTATACGCATAAAAATTAAAAGTAATTAGTCTGAACATGCATCACTTGATAATGGTACTAATGCTTGATTTTCATGCATTATTATGGCTAAAAATATGCAATCCACTTCCGGACAACAGAATAGTAAAAAAACATACAAGCATGTCTACTGAACTAATGATAAACAGTGTTTGAACCCATTATATCCAGCAAATATATAATCAACCATAAGTAACAAATTCAATTTATAATGTCTGATAAAATATATGGAAGAACAATGAAGCCATCATGGATAGCAGATAAAACAAGTGTTGGTTGAACATCTACATCTTCAACAATGCTCCAGATATGATAGTTATGCATTTTTAATGAGCCCACATGACCATATATGGTCATTAAGTATGTTGATCAGATCTTGTGTGAAATGTCTTCAATATAACAATGTGTGAATAACTGCAACGTTGCTCCTGATATGAATGTATGAATGAACTGATCACTATTCCCTCACCAGCACTATGTACTAAGGATAAAATCAAAGAAAGCTTAGAAAGAACTCCCATGTGCTGAGAGTATTGGAGACACATTAAATATAATTTGAAATTACTTAGCTGAAAACTAATTATGCAAATCAGAAAATTAATATGAACAGATTTGGGTGTAAAACTAATGAGGTCTGCGCAATGTAACAGAAAATCTATGTTTCCAAGTTTAATTGAAATGTGATTAGAACCAAAAAATTATGAATTATTATGCTTATTGGGGAATTAATATGAACAGATTTTTACCCCAAACTAATTAGTTTGTACATTGTCCTAGAGCATCTTTGTACTAAGTTTCATTGAAATGGAATAATTAGTACTTTAGATATCAGTGTGAAAGCTTAAAATTGGTTAATTATGCAAATTAGTAATTGAT